TTTTTTCCCTTGTTTCAAGTGTCTAATAGCAAGATGAACTTCATCCTCTGTTATAGTAGAATTAAAGATATGATGTTTAATTTCAGAATCTGGTTCTTCAACAGTTATATCTATTGAAATGGGTTCTACATTATTTTCATCAGCAATACAAGGATTTAAAAGACCCTCAATATAATGTATCCATTGTATAGTACTTAAATCATTTGTCACTTGACTTTTAAGATTTGTTAAGCGTTTTAATTTCGACCAAAAAGATTTTTAATTATTTACACTGTTTGACAATTCACGTTTCTTAAAACTGTTTACTATTTGTATCACATAATGTTTTGTTATCATAATTGGTTTGCCACCAAACGATTCGGCAGTCATTGGGCTGATATTCATTTCGGATGCATCATCGAATTTCGCAATGTGCACTTTTCTTTTTGCGTTCACAAATTGCCTCGTATCTTCTTGCCTATCATTGTTAGGTCTAATATGAAGTTTCACCTTGATATAATATCCTGCTTTACCTTGAGATTTTAAAGTGCTTAATTCTGATCTTTGCTTTGTTGTGAGTTCATCCGAAATGCGAATTCTCTTAGCGCGTAATGCATATCTGCCTTTGAAAAGTCTATGTTTGGTATTTTCTGAAGAAAATTTGGCAATTACAATTCGTTGACCGTGCCAACTCTATAGGCATTTTGTATCGATTCATCGCACCATGATTCGCTAAGACATGCAACACAACATACTTCTTTCAAGATTTTCTTTTTCAGCATACTTTCATTTTCGCCAGCATCTTCATTTAGACCAAAAATCCTTAAATTTGCACGTTGTATCTGACGTTCAATTTTGTCAACTCAAATTTCAATATGTTCGACTTCCAAAAATTTCTGGTCACATGTTTCGTTTAAAGCATCAATATCGAGTTGCATCATATCCTTTTTACACTGAATATTTTCAAAATTATTTTCTAGAAGCTCAACTTTGCTTTTAATGTGTAAAGTAAAAGACGCCAGTTTTGAAATATTGAAGCAGGCTTTTACTGTAAACATAGTCACACGTGGGGTAGCAAAAACGATAGGCATTTTCTCAACAGTAGTATGAGAAATGAGTTATCGGAAACAATTTTACAGTTAAAAAGACCAGTATGTCATAAAAGACATAATGAGCAATATGTATATTCAATTGCGTTTATAACGCGACTTTCGCAGCTGAAACAGAAAACCTTTTTATGACTTATTGTTCGACGTCTTCAATACGAAAGAATAATGCTATTTTTATTTTGTAATTTGAATCTGTTGACCATGTTATAATTACACCACTCTACGTGAAAGTTTTTCTAAGCATTTTAAAGATGTAATGAAGAACTGGTGATCAGGTGGTCACTGTAGATGTTTTCCGTTAAAAATAGTCAAGAATGCGCAGATTTCAACACTTTTCTTTATTCTCATTCATGGAATAATATATCAATGTGATACAACAATGCGATTCTCTGAAAATAATAAATAAACAAACTAAATACTGATTACAACGCATTTAAATAAAATACAATAAATTGTCTAAAATAATAATGCTAATACAAATCATAAATATACGATATCACCTTTACAATTATAGACTTAAATCTATTAAAATAATATTGTTATTTTATATTTCCGCAAATAATTCCGTTTATAATTTAATTCACGGCAAATATTGTAAAGTTCATCATCATTTAAAAATATTGAATTTACTTAAGAAATAATATATCCCAAACAGTGATTTTATCGCTCAATAACATCACTGTTTGGAGTTCGGATGCGAGGAATTATATCACGAGGGCGTAGCCCGAGTGATATAATGATGCGCATCCGAACGACAAACAGTGATGTTATCAAGCGATAAAATCACTAATTTGGATATATTATTTCGATTCTAACACGACATCAACAAATAAATGTTGCCGTACTTGATAGCTAAGCAAAATTGCGCCTGATTTGTTTCCGTACTTATTTTCAGCGCGTCGGATTTTAAGTGGTTACGTCGCGTGTATAATGATTACGTCACATGTCTAAATATAGAACGTCAAACTGTGCATCTGTTGCATAATAACACACACTTTCTGTTCTTCTATGTTCAATAGGGAAAAATGCGGGTCGTGTTAGAATATTGAGTTTCATACATAATAAATAACTAGCTTACCGATTATGATCTACTTTCCATTGGAAAACATCAATAAACAAATACATCAACAATTTTAAGCACTTCCGTCCAAGGCAAAACTACAAATCAAAGTAACGGTTAATGACGTCACCGTAAAACAATTTAATGACGTCTTTTTACGGGAAACAAAATAAGACGTTACGTTGGCGGGATAGTGAAGCTATGTTAAATTGAAATAGTCAAACAATGTCTTTAATAGTAAATACTATCGGAAAAATTAAACTATGAAAATTATGTGATTATAATAAAATAAATTTACAATTAAGAACTATAATTCTTACATTCACTACCAACAAATTAAGTGAAACCGTCGTGGTCGATGGTTAAGCGACAGTGTTAAAATGTTATTTATATTTGTCACTGAAGTGCTTTCTCTCCATATAATGAAATGTTCGATCTTTAAGATTTCCACGGCAACCAAAGTGATTCAGTAACAAATAACAATAAGATCCGGTTGTGTTTTCTATATGTGACAAAATAAGTTAGCGTAGTTAAGCGTAGTAATCTTTATTTACATCTCATCATTGTACAGACATATACACAATGTTAAAAAAATTACAGCATACAAGTACAATGGCACTCCAGCATGGAGTTATAAAAGATGAAAAATCTATATCACAATATTAGAATATAAATATATTTATACATATAAATGATAAAACTGAGACACCATATTGCTATACATAGATAATAAAACTAAACATCGTGACTACCTGAAAGAAGCAGTTTAAGACAGTAAGCATACAACATTAAAACTGAGAAATCGTATAAAAAATACCTAAAATAACGATTTATAAGTTTGTGTATCAAAAGGAAAGAAAAATGTGTTGACTGCCTGGCAAATTTTATTGATTTAAAAGTATCTAAAATTTATTTATCTTCTTTGAACGTGCTATTTGAAATGTACTTTTTATGCTCTATTATAAATTAAATGGCTAATTATTGAGTACATTTATTATCAATTTCTTCGTATTGAAAGAATGAAAATATTCTTTCCCGCCTATTTGTAATTTCTGACATGCCAAATATTTGAACTAGTTAAATATTTCTTTGGTTGCAAATACGTTTTACCGAGAATTGCAAACAGATTTGAGTTTCACCAGCAATTAAGTCTGTTTTTAAAGCTTATTGAGCTAATTTCGTTTTGATACGAATGATCATAAATTTGTTTGCTTTAATTGTTTATCGACAATTCATTTTACTAGAATGAGAATGGGTTTGAATACAGATATGTAATGTTCATAATTACTTCTGTTTGGTAAGTTGTTTTTTAAATTGACATTCAATGCTTTTCAGTTGATCATATATCGGTGAAGAAAGTTTAATTACGTTTGATTAAACAACACTGTATCTGTAAGGTCTGTTACCGTTACCAATGGTACATACGTTGTAAATCTTACTTAAATTACTTAAAAAGCAGAATATATTGAGATAGCCTATATACCAATCGACTGTGTCATAATCACGCAATTAGTAAATATATCCTATATTATTATCTTTAAATATTTAAACATCAATATATGAGAATATTTAAAGGGTCGTCAGGTACGGTTACTTTTTGCTATCTTATATATCATCTGCTTAACATGGTTAAGTTACATTTTGGATGTGATAATCAAATGGGTCAAATCTAAAAAATCTACCTCCAGCGAAGTATTATTTAGTTTTATCATTTATCTGAGATTCATATACTTTACGTCATTGTTATTACATTTTTCAGGTCTTTTAGGATTGATTGCACTGATTCTATCGAATACCTATATATTTTGAGACCAATTTTGTCAGAAACGCGAGGGGGACATAGCAATTCGTACTGCGCATGCGTGAAGACCTCCGGACCAAACAAAGTTTAAGCCGTGCTTAGAAGCTCAATAGATTAACACTGTGTATCTCTTTTTAAGTGCAAGTTTCCTAACTTATCTACCTCTGTTTCGCCTTGACAACGCATTGTTTCGATGAATTATTATTATAATGTTAAAACCTGGTCATTTATTCTTCAAAATCGAACATCTGGGCTACGGGGCGTAAGTTTGAATGTGTCTTCATAAACAGACTCAATATTTTCAACTATTCAATATTCCTTTCATTGCACTCGAAGGATCTCCTTTTACGAGAATTCGGTCATGCTATCATTTATAACGATTAAAATTTACTGAATAACAATATTAATTACAAATTAGAATTCACTGTAGTATTAACTGGACGGCAAGCTGAGTTTTTCCCCCTCATTATTATATAAATTATATTGACAAACAAACAAGGCTTATAAAAATACTCTGACACTCCATTTTAATTCAATATATTTTCGATTTATTTATAAAAGAAATACGTGTTATGACAACGGAAAGCGTTTCTCATGTGATATCAGGCTGATTAAAACAATCATGTTTCAATGATATGAAAGCATTCAAACACAGGCGCTCTTGTGACATGTGAGTATTTCTAGCAGTTATGTTTAGATATTTAAAATATGTATTAGAAAGATTAGAAAGATTTATTGAACACATAAAGTTTTAGAAAAAAAAAATTCATGGAAAATAAACAAGGAGGCAACTAATGCTGTTGCAACACAAAGTTTAGAATGATCAGATTATTTTGATTATTTTACAACATAATTATATTTTATTACATAATATCAGTATTAATCAGTTTTTCTAATGCCTTGTTCTAAGTGGCATTCATCTGTATCTTCTAATGTAAAATTATCAGTTTATAACTTATGTTTAAGCAAAGTTTTCTCATTATCTGAATGTTACTTGGATGTGTTAAACAAATATTTGTAAATTAATATTTTCATGCTTTCTTAGTTTTATGTGCCGACCATACCCACAAAAGCGAATTAGCAAATCAAATCGTCAAACAACATGTTGAGAATTGGTTATGTTGGAGCAGTTCTTACCGCGGTATCTCTCGTGATTTTCATTGATGCACAGACGATAGATGATGTCAGTCAGTTACACAAAACGGTAATGTCTGGTTATAACAAAGATATAAGACCTGCTATTGACCAATCACAACCTGTCTTTGTCAATGTCTCATTTGAACTCATATCAATACGAGAACTTGACGAAATCATGGAAAAGATATCAATAGTAGGAATATTATGGATGTTCTGGGAAGATCCAAGAATTTCATGGGACCCTTTGGCATATAACAACACATTTATGACAAAAATATCAAATCAAAATGTTTGGAAGCCGGATTTAATCCTGGCTCATCCAATTGATATGACAAAGGCAATTGGTTTTGATCACAGTTGGTACCCTGTGCGCTATAACTACAAAGGAATTGCACTTTGGGCCCCTGGTGATGTAATGACGACAACGTGTAACATTGATATAACATTTTACCCCTTTGATAAACAAAGCTGTGAGGTAACTTTCATTCCATGGGGATCAAGGAAAAGCGAAATGTTCATACACATAGCCGAAAAGGAAGTTTCTAGAAAATTATTTTCGGAAAATGGAGTATGGAAACTTAAAAAGGCAACAGCTGTTACTGGTCTAATTGACAATATGTACCCCACCTACAGTGTTGTGATTGAACTTCAGAGAAGGCCCACGTATATAATCGTTAACGCCGTGTTACCTGTATTGTTTATGGGACTGCTGAATGCTCTTGTTTTCTATTTACCCGCTAATTCAGGGGAGAGAGTTTCTTTTGCTATCACAATTTTGCTTGCAATAGCCGTTTTTCTAACACTTGTTGGTGACAACATGCCGAAAACATCACAGCCAATGTCAATATTATGCTATTTTCTCCTCACAAATCTAGTTCTTAGCTCCTTGATTATGGTCGTAACGGTGGTAAATCTTAGAATTTATTACAAAGAGACAGAGGTTCCTCGGTGGTTGAGGTCGTGTGTGTTTATTTTGAAATGCAAGCGAAAATTCCGCAATACAAACGATACAAAGGTGGACGCTCTAACGGAAAGTAAAGACGCAGACGTAAAGAAATCACCGGAAGTAGTTGTTAAAGACAACTGGGTCACCGAGTATGATGATACAGAGTCTATTACCTGGCGTGATGTTAGTGAAACCGTAGATCTTGTATTCGGTATCAGCGCCATTGTATGGCTGTGCCTGACTGCATTGGTGTTTTTCAGCATGGTATCAACACAAAGTCTACCAGAAAACTAAGATATACTCGTCCATGTGTTTTTGTTGCAAACGCAAACATTGGAATTAACAATTGTACATACTTATGTTATCAAGATTTTAATGTACACTTGTAATTACACGTGTAAGCAGGGCAGGGTCTTTATATAACAGAAATATTTTGAAAGATCCTGACGGAAAATTCAAGTGCAAGTGAATACTGTTTTGGCCGGTGGTAGTTAGGTAAGAGATGTTGCACTATTAAATTAATTACTATTATCAGAAGGATATGTCATTCCGTTACATAAGAAATGTAGTGTTAATGAAGTAGAAAATTATAGAGGTATCAAATTGTTAAGTAGTCTTGGTAAATTATTTTCAAGTGTAATTAATGCAAGGTTAAAAAATTGAGCTGTTAATATAATGTCTACATTGAAGCTCAGGCTAGTTTTAGATCAAATATGAGTATTACAGATAATGTTTTTGTTTTAAATGGTTTAATATCGCATTTAATAAATCAAGGAAAACATTTTTTTGTCTATTTGTTGACTACAGTAAAGCATTTGATTACGTTGTGAGGGAAAATCTTTTGTACAAGCTTATTCAGTTAGGGTTAAGAGGGAACATTTTAGATGTCATTCAATCTATGTACAAATGTGTAAAATCAAAAGTTAAGTATTTGAATAATTTAAGTAATGAATTTACATGTACACTAGGGGTAAGATAAGGTGAATGTTTGTCACCTTTTCCTTTTTCTATGTTCTTAAACGACTTAGAAGATACATTTTTAAGAAGTGTTGAAGGAATAGATGTAAATATGTTTAAAGTTTTCTTGTTATTATATGCGGAAGATATCGTAAATTTTGCAAACTCGGCAGAAGAACTACAACACAATATATGTCTCTTGTATGATTATTGCAATACATAGAAGTTAAAAGTCAATACATAGAAGTTAAAAGTCAATGTATCTAAAACGAAAGTTATCTTTTCAAAAGAAGTGGTAGACTTCAAGTGATCTTCAATTTTATTATGATGGTAATCTGAAATTGTTAATGCATTTACATATTTTGGTATTGTATTTACTTGTGGTGGATCCGTTACAAAAGTACAAACAATGGTAGCTGGATAAGTACAGAAAGCTATTTTTAAACTGAATAAATATTTTTATAAATTTACGTATATTAAACCAAGGCACGGGCTTAATCTTTTTGATACATTAATGATACCTATATTAAACTACGTTAGCGAGATAATTGGTTTTACTGTTAGCCAAACAATAGAACAGGTACACTTACAATTTTGTGAGTTACAAAACTGCACAAAATGATTTTATTTATGGAGAACTTAGTAGAATATCTTTTTATTGTAGACATCTTCTCAATATTGTAAAATGTTGGATGAAAATATTGTGTATTAATGAAAACAAATATGTTAGTAGAATTTATAAATTGTTGAAAAGTGATTTTGAAAATCACCAATAAAATAGTTAAAAGATGTTCGAAATTAAAACAACTTTTATGTTCTTTAGGAATTTATGACGTCTGGTTACACAGAGTGTAGGAGATATTGAGCAATTTTAAAACAACGTTTAAAGGACAATTTTGTTCAAAACTGGCATGAAATATTACATTATTCTAGTAGAGCTTTATTTTATAAGACAATAGCAAATTTTGAGTTTCAGTCATATCTAGATAGTTTTAATGGAAACAAAGTGTGTCAGGCTATGGTAAGATTAGGAGTTTCCTCTCATAGGCTACAAATAGAGGCTGGACGTTGGTCCAGACCTACAAGAACTCCAGTTAATGAACGAACATATTTAACAGGATGAATACCATTTTATATTAGAATGTTCAATGTATACTGAATTACTGAATTTAGGAAACATTTTATTCATAAGAAAATACTGGAAACAACCAAATATGGTAAAAATTATTGAATTGTTAACCAATGAAAACCAATGAAAATGATACAAATAGAAAGAAATTAGGATTTTTTGTATATAAATCTTTTGAAAAGAGAAATGAAATGCTATACGGTTCAGTTGAGTTATGATTTAGTTTTCTTGTAAACCTACTTATTTGCATAGTTTTTAAAATGTGAATTTAAAACATTGGTCTGTATTAAAAAACATGCGGAAAAGTAATATCTTATGTAAGTTAAAATGAATGTGATTTGTATGTTCTTGATATATAGTATACAAATATTGTTAATATTGTACTAAATTCACGCAGGAGGTATCTTTCTGTTCAGGAGAAAGATAATACGAGGGCTGTCCAAAAATTTCGTGCACTGCAGTAATTGTTGTGAGAGTTATTAATAAAAAGAAATGAATTATATATCACTTGAAGGGGAAATCTGTCTCAAATAAGAAAACAAAAGAAAAATACGGGTAACCGGCGTGTCGTGTAAAAGAATGGTCATTAAGTTACGTATATTACTACATGTATCTGAATGTATATATCTACAGATTGAGGTTGTAATTTAAGGAGAAAATAATGTTTTCAGATTACTAGTGTAGACAAATGTATATTCAAGTCATACTATAAATGATATGAAATGAAATTAAGAATATTAAGCTGACATATATCATGCTTGACCTTCTCCAATGAAAAGTTTATATAGATCTAATATTAATTTTGTTCGCTGTATTATACACTTAAATCATGCGCACTATGTATTGTAAATGTATATATGCATGCTTGTAGCGCCATCATGGGCGAATAGCCTTATGGAATAAATGAAATAAACTCTAAAAAGCTCTTTTATGAACACACACAATTAAACCGTGTGTACACTTTCCATATAATATTTTTGTTTTCATTGCTTCCAATGGGTCAACTCTTTTCCAGATTTTAATTGAAAGACTGAGATTTAACTTTGCTACAAATGCAATGCATCTAGACCATATTCAACATATTTCAAGTATGAACACAAACCTCTACGCGTAGTGAAGCTGATTAAATCCTGTGTAAGGATATTTTTTGACTGGCGATCGTTAAATTAAAATCATTTTGTTCAAGCCATGTTATTTTATTTGTTTCTCATTTCCACTTCTTAAAACTTGAAATAACTCTGATGTACATGCATCATACAAATATATGTATTTCTTTGATAAAATAAACACTTATATCTACAACAATTCTTATTATCAATAAATAATAAATACCTGGTATATACATTATCTATAAGATTCCCGCACTTCAAAATAAATTCAATCAATATATAAATTGTGGAAATAGATCATTTTACAGTAAACTATTGATGCTCATTGTACAAATGAGCCGTGTCACGACAAAACCAACAAAGTGGGTTTGCGAACAGCACGGATCCAGACCAGTCTGCGCATCTGCGCAGTCTGATCAGGATCCATGCTGTTCGCTATCAGTTTCCCGACTTGTGAAAGGGTTTGCAAGCGAACAGCATGGATGCTGATCAGACTGCGCGGATGAGCAGGCTGGTCTGGATCCATGCTGGTCGCAAACCCACTATGTTGGTTTTGTCATGGCGTGGCTCAAATGTAGTATACAGCAGCAACTAAACAATAGTTACAATTGAATATTTAATATCAAAAACCAAAGAATGGTTATAATAGACGGGCCTGTATAAATAAACAATTTTTTCCAACTTTTAAGCTATTATCCACATGAAATTTCGATAATTATAGGCATAATCAATACTAAACAAGGACAGGCAGTATTGAACAGGTAGCTCTGCGAATACAACAAGAGCACCGCTAGACGGATCATTAAATGCCCGAAAAGTAAACATTGTACCCATTTATGAAGGAAATATAATGTATACATAAATTAAAGAAATTGATACATAAACCACATTAAAATATAGTATTACCTCTTTCAAAAAGCAACCTTCCTTTATAGCTGAAAAAAAACGTCATATATATGACGGAAAGTCGCCAGGGGTATAACATAATATAAGCAAATGTTTAGGTCATATAATGAAATGTACTTAATATAAGTGATCATCCTATGAAGTTTGACAGTTGTCCCCCAATATAGATATGGATCTTTTATTCACATTGGCAATCATCCGATAAGGTTTGAACACTGTACGCCAAATGGAACATGTGTTATGCTTCAGAAACCACAATTTCAGTGTTAAGTGTCGTTAAAAGTTAAATACCGGTATAATATCACTTACAATAAACCAAAATTTATAAATGTTCTTCAAATTTTCTGGTTTGCTCTTGTATATAGATCAAACAGATAAGATAAAACTCACAAAAAAGGAACTGTCGTAATGCAACCATAGAACGAGTTTTTCTAAAACAAAAATAAGGCTATAACTTAAACTTGTCTTTCATCGATTGAATATTATATGTATTTATGAGTGGAGAAATGACATATCTTAACATCACGAACAGTACATATTTTAAAAAGAAAATTAAATATTAGTGAAGTTAAATATCGAGGTTTCAAAGATAAAATGTAATAACTGAAAATGAGTTTTTATGTTTTTAGTAATAGAAAAAGCATCGAAACACGAGGCTTTCTGATTTATACGAGGGGGCGTAGCCGCCGAGTAAAAATAAGATTGCCGAGTGTTTTGATGGTCTTTCTCTTTTGTATCATAGTCAAACATAAAAACACGTTCCCTGGTGTCATAGCATGAAATCCCAGAACAAAATAAACCAATGATCGAGCATCTAAATATGATATTTCTGTAGCTTTCCCTTTCTCTCCCGTCACAATATGTAAATCCCAGCAAAAATGAGCCAATCAATGGGCACGCTCTGGAGTGCGGGTTACTAATACCTGCACCCCAGTTAACGCACCGTACATGTATATGTAAATCATATAACTCTTGACACATTTTCAACAGAAATATCCCCAAATAATGATACAATTATGTTATGTACTTATTATCCTTTATGTCCGACGAAAATATTATAGAAATATTCAATCCTTATAAGGGCAAAACATTAAAAGTACTTTGTAATAACTTCATCTCTACAAATTATGTAGGGGTAAAATGTTCTTAGTGTACTTATTACATGTTGTTCACCTGTTGTTCCTCATGTTGTGCCTGGAAATATAACCACGAAATATCACAGATCATTTGTAAAGAAACACATCGAAAGCTTTCAAACTGTTGAATCACACTACACACGGAAAGACTCCAACAGGAACTATCTAACGCAAGATTAAAGTATGTAGAAAAATGTAAAGGACAAAAAAGAGAGAAAGATGTGTTTCACAGGCTGTGTACAGAAACATTTTCTGTACAGACTATAACTTTTTTTTGCCTCCATCCTAAGACAGGTCAAGCTCCACGCTGAAATCTGTATGATATGTATAGAAGAGCAAAGCCAAATATCAGGCACACCAAGAAAGAAAATGCAATACTAGAATGGAAAAATTTGATCTCCAGGCTGTATTGACAACACCATGCAGTTTAATTGGTGAACTTTTAATATAACAAAAGAAAACTGTGTTGTTACTATTTGTCATTCTATGAACTGGGAAATGATAACGGACTTGTTATCTGTGGGGTGAGACACAGGGGAAACGAGGCTCGTGCGAAATAGAAACTTGTGTGTACTTGTATGTAACTTTTGTTGCAAGCAAACCATTTGGTATTGAAGAAGTGACATTAACATTGATACATGTGGGGGACAGAATCGCAATCAGTTTGTCGTAAGTTGCTTAGTTTACTGTGTCCAAGATATTCCTCACATCAAGTGCATAAACCACATATTTCTCGAAAGCGGCCATTCAGAAATGGAATGTAATTCCATACATGCATCTTTCGAGCATGCAAAAAGCCTCACAGAAATACTTGTTCCATCTCCGTTGGAAACAGTTATATCATTAGCACGACGGAAACAACCATATTTTGTCGTTCCGACTGACATACTAGATTACAAGTTATACATAGAACAAAACTTTGGCTCAATGAA